TAAGGTAATTAACACTAAATTACTTGTAAATAACTTAATTACAGAAAGAAATAGTGACTGAACTAAACAATTCTATCTTAGCAATTCATTTTCTCTTTCTCTAGGAAGTAGAGCACATTTCACTGTGAGTACCAGTGCTTCAGGAACCAGAAAGCACTTTGACCCATCTAAAAAGAACTGCCCTTTCCCAAGTTCTAATCACAAAATGGAAAAATATAACAAAACAAAACTTACAAGATTTCAAACATGGCCCAGAAGAAGAGAAAAATGTAACTATTTCATACTCCAGCTAAAAGTCTGGCCACGTGTCAAAACAGATTCATTCCGAGATCCACATTTCATCCCAAGAGCAATTAAATTCTCAGCAAAGCAGTTAAAACCCATCTGTCTCTTCAAGCCAGATTTCAATTATTATTCAGTAATCCTATGTCCTTATAATTACATTGATGCTCACTCTGCATATACGCAAAATACTGGCTTTTTTATTTCAGTAAGAACTCACACAGCACAAAAATTCAGACTTTCCTGGAGCCTACAGTAAAAAGGGGTCAGAGGACTCCATCTCTTTTGTCTTTTTGTAAGACAGGGTCTTAATATGATCTGATAATACAAGGAACACTCGTAAAAGCTTCCCATCTAAACCTATTTGCCCAAATGAAATTGCTTTAAGAGAAAAGAAGAAAAACCAAATCACATCAGAACAACTTGTTCTTTAGAGAATATTAAAGAAAGTACTAGTGAAATATTTTCAGTTTAAATTTTTACTTCCTGCAGACTATTAAGCACTAGAATAGTTTAAAAACAAGCACATACTTCAGAAGAATAACAGCTCTATTATCTATCCTACTCTAAATGTAAATAAGGACTTGCACTTTCCAAAAATATTCAAAGCCTTACACTGAGCAAACACTTATTAAAGCTTATGTTTCTCATGTGTCTACTTAATGCAATGGACAGGAGCAAACACAACAGCTCAAACCTCACTACAACAAGAGAGCATTTCATTCTGGTTAAGCAAAGGAGCCACAAGACTCCAGCCAGGATGCATGTTTTGGGCTACATTGCTCACATGTATGGTAAACTGTATTTCCAGAAACTAAGGAAAACAACAGTCCAGCAAGGTTGATATATTAGACTACAGCCCAAGTCCCCATTCCAAGAAACAGGAAAAAACACGTTTATGTTTCCTGCACTCCAAAGTAAAATGACTTCAATCCTAAGCAGCTATTTCCAAGATCACAGTAGAAATCAGACACAGTCCTGCAGATGTGTAACTACCAGACATTTACTGAGGGACTGCCAGCCCTCTCAGCTGCTGAATAGGCACTGGCAAGCAAAATACTAACAGTCCCCTCCTTCAGTGAAAGAGAACTCATCTATAGGAACTACAGATCTCAATCACTGTTTTCAGTTTGGCTCTGTAAACTGCAAAGTTTTGTTGTTTGCAATCATTACAATCATGAGCAAAATCCAAACTTAGAGACACAGCAAATGTGTAAATCTCCATTAAGGTTGGTTGCTTCGTTGGTTTTTTCCCCTTCCTTTCTGCCATGTAACTCCTTATTTTGTTTCAAGGCTTTTTTGCTTTTAATTATGATGTAAGCTTCACTTCTGACTACCCATTCAGTGGCTGTGAAATGAAGCTCACATTGCTAAGCAGCTTTCTGCCACACAACAGTGAAGCAGCTGGGTGTTACAAGCAGTGGCTGAAACACAGGACAGGAGCAAACAGCACAGCTAAACACGAGTGAGAGTACATACAGACAAATATTGTTTATGTTGCTAATTTACAGAGTCATCAACTGCTCTGCTAATCATCAGTCCTCTCACACAGAACTGAGCAGGAATAGCATCAGTGATTTGGTGCTCAGCAGCAAAGACCAGCTGATGAAAACAGTATAAAGAATACCAACGAAATCAATGCTTAGAAACCTGAAAGGAGTCCAGCAGTTAGAAAGTTAACCAATCCACTTGTTGCCCTCAAAACTGAAAATGGAACAAAAGCAGGGATAGTGGAATAAGTTATTTTCTGTTACATAATTAGAAATAATAAAAATGTTTTCATCCTCACAAAATATCCACACATTTCCCTCCAAGCTGTAAGTCCCCACAGCATCACCTTATGATATTATTTAGATTTGTATAACTTTTAAACCTCTAACACTGGATTGCACGTTTTCTTCATAGCTGTTCACTCAGTGAAGAACAGAAGGACTGCCCTAAAAGAGACCAAATTTATTTTCTTCTTTCCCCACTGTGTCCTTAAAACCAAGATGTACTGGGAAGAGCAAAGTTATCTGCTTTTCTTCCTGCAAAAATGGAGCAATAAGCTTGAGGGGCAAGTAAGCTCCTTCCACTGCCTTCCTATGCTGGTTGTCATTCCAGAAGCCCAGTTAAAACCCCCTGTGCAAGAGCTGCCTTTTTTTCAAAGATAGTCCAAACACTCCGAATCTAAGATCACCCAATAGGAGTTGCACTGCCATCTATGGAAAAGTTTAGGAAAAGCATTTAGCACTTTGTTGATACCAAGGAGGATACAGTTTAAAGGACAAATGATACAACAGCAGGATGGAAATGAAAAAAAAAAAAAAGGCAAATTACACGACCAACTAGTCCCCATCTAGTTCCCTGAATTGCTACTCAGCCTCATTGCTTCTACTCACCCCAGCCTGTGCCACGGAAACTCCAGAACCAACGGTCTGCTCTGGTGATTGCCCTGGAAACACTAAATCCAAGGGGCAGTCCGGCTGGCATTAGCTCCAGCACTCCAAACTCTTAAATCTGACTCTCATCAACTGGATTTTGACACACAGATATGAACTGCTTTTACCTCACCACAGGAGAAACTGCATAATTTGATCACGTATCTCCCAGCAAACACAACGTGAGATGTGTTGACTAATCACAATAATTATTCTTTTTTTTTTTCTAACCTGTCCTTATACTCCTTGCTTGCAGAGAAAAGGAAAAAGATGGAACAAAAGCTTACAGTAACCTATCCAAGAACCTAATTCTTCAGAAATAATGAATAATCACATCAGAAATTCATCTGCATCTTCAGATTACAAACGACAATTGTTTAATCTTTAGGCTAAATAAATTGAATATATCATGATTTCTGCCAAAATCAAAAAGCATAGGAAAAAAAAAAACACCATAAAACACCACTAAAAGGCAACACAACACTTCAGAGTTACATTTTCCCCCCTCAAAATCCAAGCTGACTGAAAATACATGTCTGCCTTGTAAAAATAAAACAAGTATTATTGATGTTTTTCTCAGATAAAAATTCACAGCACAGTAAGCACTGAAATTCTGAAGCACTAACAGGATCAAAATCAAAATGGGTGGAAACAACACATGACTTTCTAGATTCAACATCAAGCCTTACAACTTCTTCCTTTCTCCACCTCCTCAAAACCTACTAAATACATTCTTCCATTTTTAAGCCCTCTCTAAAAAACATTTAATTTCAATAAAGAAAGAAAGAAACCAAAATAGCAAACAAAGGCTTCTAACGTACCTCTGCTCCACATGGCTTACAACAGCTTCTGTCAATCAGAACATTGATCCACTATCAATTCATACACATGCACAAATTAATGCATGGAGGTCACATGTGTCAAAAAACAGACATATAGTCCAAAAGCATGGTAAAAGAAGCATCTTCCACTTGTTTGTTAAATTACACAGTATGTATCAAAATATCTATATTTATAACTTACCAAGGAACAAAGTTTAAAAACTTCTCTCTTTTCCTGACATATGCAGATGTATCTGTGGATAAGGGTGCTTGTTTTTGCAGTGGCCTATATTAAACTTGGTTTTTTCCCTATAAACACCAATAAAGCTACAAAACTGATAGTACAAAAGTCTCAAACTGCTTTTCCAAGTTGGCCACAATTGCCACAAAAAGTTAATAACCATTGCTAAATTCTTTCAAGCCTTACATCCCAACATCATAATTTAAGACTGAGCAAACAATACCACAAGCAGCTAAAAATATATCAGGAATTCGTATGTAGTTATACATAAAAAAGATAATTACATATCTATTTCCAATTTTCAGGAGCAATCTCTGCTGTTCTGCTCTTGGGCTGCAGCAAAGAACCTTACTAAAATTACAAATCAAAGCCTAAGTAGATGCCACAAACTCTGTCCAAGTCTGAAAGGGGTATCTACATTACTAAATTGGCAGTGGTGACACAGTATCTGTAACACACACTGACTATACCAAATAGGTTTTGTTCGATGTTCAGATTGTTAATAATGTTTTATCATGTTAATAAAATCCAAGTTGCTTAATTCAAAAGTCTTAATTCAAAGATAAGGGAATATGAACAGGACAGACAGTATTTTCCTCAGGCCCACCAAAATCCCAAGGTTGGCTCCCCGACCTCAGCTGGAGGATCACAGCACAGCAACTCTCCCTCCATCCCTCAGACTGAATGATGCTTCCTGCAGTTCAGCTTCAAGTTTAGCAACAAGAAAAAGGTTGTGATGCACCTTATGCATCACAGCTGAGATGCACATAGTCCTGCCACAGCCAGGTATCTACCTGAAAGATTCTATGCCTGAACAAACTGAGAAATCAAAAGTCATCTTCAGTTCACAGGGACCCTCTAGGCACGTAGTAAAGAAACAACATATGTAAGAAGTTAGAGAGGCAATAGCTACTTTCTTGCCTTTTCACTCCTATGTTTAGAGATTATTTAACCTATCATTTGCAGAAATTAAATTCTTTTATTTGTGAGCACTACTATGAGATTGCATAAGGAGTGACCTGCTTTGTCCTTACTTTAGAGAAAAAAAAAAAATGTATGTTAACTCCGGTCCAGAAACAGGAGTTTCTAAACAAAAAATTTCAAAAAGCTATCAACTACAGAAAAAAGAGGAAACAATTATCAAATAAAAAAATGCATCGATATTTTAAAAATACACTTAATAAGCAATAAATTTAACCCAATATAATCATTCAAGTTCTGTGTATAAATACATACTATGCTGTTCATCTCCGAAGAGTCGTAACTTCCACATGGATGGACGCTTCCTATAGGTTCCAACCCTTCTTCATCCCACATATATGTGCCATCAGAACTGTCAGATGGAGAAAGCTCAAAAGAGGACCCAGCTCTATAGTTCATCTCTGAAGAAATGACATTCTCGGTAGTATGTTTTGTGCTTTCGCTGTTGTCATCCACTGCTTCAAGAGAACAGGAACAGTTAAGGTTCCAAAAACAATCCAATATTCAAAAAATAAATGTTACGATGTGTATTACTGGGGTGTTAACTTTTCTGAAACTATACTGTAACAGAATATCTGAAAGCATTCTACAGTATTGTTCCCTTATCCCAGAGAGGAAAAATGCTCAAGCTGGTTTGGTAGCTACAACTAAGTATTCTTCCAACCTATATCTTTGCTAACCTTTTATGCTGCCCCAATTCACCCACAGTGAAAGCTACTTTCTAGAATTCTGTATCTCTTTAACATATTAGAAGGTGGGTTCAAAAATATATGCTTTGGATCTAGTCTTTCAATTGCAATATCTTTCAAAACAAGCTTTTATCATGAGCAGCCCATCAAAGACTTGAAAATGTAGCTTTCAAAGGCATATTCTGGTGTCTTCAGCTGATGTTTGAAGAATTAATATCAGGAAAAACAAAAAACCAGCAACATTCCTATTTATAATTTAACTTATTTAATTAGACATCCTACACTTATTTACACCACTTAGAAGCAGTTACAGCTGTTCTCTGCCTACAGAGGTGGAAGGAGGAGGAGTTGGAATTTTCTCAAAATATCACCATCCCAGAAAAATGAATGGCAAAGCAAGGATACAACCATATCACAAATGTGTTTAAAGGAGGTAACCTTCATTCTTATCACAAAGAGCTCTAATGATTGGGAAAGAACTATTATGCAGAAAAGGCATAAGAAAACAAATATGCCAGCAGAGAGCCAAGTTGTATTCTGAAACAATTCACAAGCAATGGGCAATTACATTAAATAACTACTGTCAGAGAATTTTGATTTAGTACCTAAAATTTCAAACAGAACATAAAAAACAAGTATTTACCAGACACATTTATATCAAGCCACTCATCAGCATTACAGCGAGATCCTCCACTTTCCTTGAGGGACGTGAACGGCTCAATGGACGTGATGCTCCCGTGCTCTAATTCCTGCAGGCAGCTCTCCTTCTGCTGTATTTGTATAGTTCTGTTTGCATCTTCTATATCTATGAAGTCATCACTGAAATCTTCACTCAAATCATTCTTCTCAGAGGACGACAAAGAAGATATAGATATTTCATCTCCATCATCACTCATACACATGACTTTTGACCCATGTTTTCCCAGACTTTCATGCAGGCCCTCATCAGATCCTGTTCTTTGAGCACTGCTCTCTATAATACTGTTTTTCTCAACTGCTCTGTTAATATTTGTTGAAATTTCAGAGCTCTCCACGGCATGTGTGTCAGGAGAGGTACTTTTGCTGCCATCCACAGCAGTATTCCCAGCAAAGCGCTGCCTGGTAGGCTTGAGCAGAGAAGGACGACTTAATCTGTATCCAAAGGAAGGTGCTGACCCAGATCCATTTGACAGTGGGGGTTTCTTGGAACAAGGAGCTGCCACACCAGAGTACGGTCTGGTAAACCCATACTTCATCGGTTCATTTCCATTGGGTACATCCAACTGACACGCGTTTCTTGACAGCAAAGTAGACCTCTGAGACGTCCTGGCAGCCAGATTTTGACTATGATAAGGCCTTGTAAGATCCACAGCTTTATTAAAGGAATGTGACCTGGTTAGAGATGCAGTGGGAAGGAAAGAATTCTGAATGGAATGTGAAAAACTTTGTGATCTTACCATTTTTTCACAGGAAAAAGCCTTGCTATTGTCTGTAGATTGTGCTAGGCTTTCTCCTGAACTTGTCCTTGTGGCACTGGAATTAGCTCTAGGTCTCTGCAAACCTACCACTGGCCTATTTCCATAAAATCCATTTAAATTTGATCTTGGAGCATTGAGTCCAGAATATGAGGTCCTTCCTGGCAGGGTACCTTTGGTGAATTTAGCTGAACCAGAGAGTCCAGGTAAAGACTTTGGGTTTAAGTCCTCGGTAGAAGATACAAACATATTGGTTTGCTTTGCTGCTTTCGACGCAACCGAAGCGGGACTGTTCAAACCCACCCTGAGCTCATCGTTGCCCAATGCTCCTTGAGATTGAGGATACTTCTCAGAATCGATTAATTTTTCATTGCAGTTGCGTTTAGAGTTGGCCTCTCTCTCATTTTGATCGTTAAGCTGATATCTGTTAGATTTTTTCCAGTTGAAAGAGAAGGAAGACACATGGCCAGTGCCATTGTGCTTGGCGAAATTTTTGCCCCCATGACTCCCTGCTAAGTTAAGGGCCGTCCCGTTGGGCACAGGTTGTAAGACACTCCCTAAAGTTTTCGTTCCATATTTCGGTAGCCTGGAAACCAAGGATGTTCTGGTTTGATTTTTTTCTTCCATGAGCTATTTGGGTACATTGGTCCTTAAAGGGTGCTTGAATCTAAGAAATAAAAAAAAAAAAAACCAAACAAACATTAAACCTGGAGTACCCACACATGAAACAACATAGTTTTATATACATTTGCATCTGTGTGCTTCCTACATTCCTGTGCCTAACTGTACCCTGGGGATAAAAAGTAACCTGTACACATTTTATGAACTTCAGAGAAATATCTGCCACCAGAACATATTTGGCAGTAATATGTTCTTCAGGTCACAGCTCCCTCCCCCAGCTTTCCTTCTCTACATAAACTGCCTTTTCTTTTCCCTCCTTTTGAAATCTATAAAATAAACTTAAAAAGGGGTTGGCCTGGGTTTTTTGGTTTGTTTTTTTTTTTTTCCATTTACCCATTCTGACCAGCAAACTGCACTTTTCAACTGTGTTACAATTATTAAATTACAAACTTTGATATTTAGTATTTTTTTTAAAAAAGCCACAAATATACATAGCACCAACCCGTGGTCAGCAATGTAAACCTGCAAAAATAAAATTGGACTGAAAGCTAATTTTTTGAGATTATTTTCTGTTTCCCCAATGTCTATGCTATAACATAGGAAATAATTACTTATCATATACTCTCACCACAAAACTTTTTTCCCAGACCTTACTGATATCCCCAAAACAAGATTACCATTCCTAGCCATTTTTTTTCCCCTCTTTGTATGGAAACTGTTTTGGAAATCTACTTATTCATGTACAAGACTTGAAGTACAGGGCAACAGTTGCATAAGGTCAGTGTTAGTGAGTGTATTCTAGAGTTTTACTTCCGTGCAGCAATGCACTGACACAAAATCCCAGCTAACAAAGTGTGAGATAAAAAGACCTTTGTAGAATTCATGCATTCCCTCGTATCTTGAATTTTGCTTCCATCCACCTGATTTGGAATACAGGGACTCGACCACACTCTTTAATTGAAGATTTGTTATATCTCAACTTACAGTCACATCATTTTGGTCTATTTTATATCAAACTTATTTTATAAAACCATTTCTGCTTTACACACATATCTTTGCCTCAAAAACTTTTGCCTTGAGAATTGTGATTCCTTGCTTTGATGTACTTTCTGTTTCTTTCCCACTCATGACCATTTCCAGCCCCATGGTTTGGATAACTAACTATGCCTCCATCACCCTTTCGTACAGCACCAGTCTGCTGGTGTGCCTGGCTAGACAATACAATCTTGTCTAAATGCTATTATTAAAGACTTGTAATTCCGACACCACCACCTTGAGAAGTCTCCAAGTTTCAATGTTGCATCTTAAGACACGTTTTAGCCTTGTGTTAAATTCTGTATTTGCAAGACCAGGTTTCTGGGGTTTTTTTCAGGACAGTTGTAAAAGGATATCTTGTCTTTGCTAGCCTGAATTTTGTTTTTATCAGTTCCACCCATTGGTCTTACAATGGTGTAAAGACAGAATTTCAGTCATTCTTATGTCATTCCCTTAAACCATTACCCATATTTTTCTTTTTCCAGACCTATACACATCTAGCAGACTGCAAAAAAAATGAAAATCTTTAAACCATGGCAATCACAATGAGAACCAACACATAGCAAGTAACATTATACTTATTCAAACTACAGAAATTATTGTGTGTGTAACCACAGCAAGCATCACCTTAAAGTGAGTCATTCCCCAAGCTGCAAGACCTCACTAAGAAACACTTTAGATAAAATCAAAGTGGCGTTAAATTCATGCAAACTGAAGTGCCTTTAGGATTTTATCAGTGAATACGATGCCCCGGAGTATCACTTCTGGAAGGAGATTTCCATTACAAAGATAGAAAGAGAAATGTACTGGAGACATGGCTTTTAGGGGCTCCTAACTTGTGAAGACATCAGAATCCACATCCTACAACTGGCAGGGCTTTTCCATTCTGAAATACACAAATCCCGAGCTTTCAAATACTCAGGGAATTCTTGCACTTCGGAGACAGAACCCTCACCCAGGTTTACGAAGAAGTATATAAGTGTTTCCTCCCCAGAAACAGCAGAATATTTAATTTATCATGTATGACACCTGCCTCTATGTGGATTTAGGTGTCTAATGTTAGATTTTTGCCTGCATTGTACCCGCACACTTTGCAAAGGAAAATATCATTATGCTTTAAGAGCAAATGTCAAAGATATTTACTTTATGTCAACAATATACAGTAAAGGCAATAAAGTACACCTTTTTTTTTAAAATAACTCCATGAACAAAAAAAATGGCCTTTAGCATCCGGATGAATTGACTCCCAGCAAGCATCAGAATCCTCAGATCCCTCAGAAGATAACCCAACTCTAAAGAAAAGGCAAGTCTTGTAAAGAAATCTTCCAAATTAAAAAAGTTAAATTAGAAAGCTGCTAATTTAACTTTCATGCTTTATGGATAATTCCCTTTTCACATCTGTCTACCATCTCTTAGGTGACTGCAAAATTTAAATGAGGCCATTTAATTAGATTACTTTAATCCTCCACCAAGTGCTGCACATTAAACTTGAAAAGGAGACTTTTCAGTTCTCTAGGAAGGGTGCTTACTCATTTATCCTTGATTAGGCAAAGACAGCACATTACCTTCAAGAAAACTCTACTGACTGCTTAAAACACTTCAGATAATTAAATTAAAAGACAAACAATACTGTCTGTATCTTATTAGCTATTTAACTGTAACTACTGTGCCACTTTTTCAAATTTGGGTTACATTTGTTTTGTTGAAATATAATGCCATCAATAAACACCAAAACTAAACAGCATCACGTTTGGCAGGTTTTTCCCAGAAAATGGGAAACTAAATTCTCTAAAATATCCTTAATCTTGACAAATATTTACTGCTAAGGATTACAGTATCCTAACAAGGAAACTCCCTTATCAAGCACCACAGTACCTGCAAGTTATAGAATGATTTCTGCATCCCACAAAATTCAGGTTTTTAAATTGTAGTCTGCTGTATTATAAAGAAATTCAAAGTATTTTTAGACTTAAGCAATCTATGGATTTTTTAAAACAGACATTTGGGCAAACAAGTTTTATATTCTTTGCCTTGGGAAATATATGATCTGGTGCACACAAGCCTAATCAGGAATTAAGCTAATTATAAGGAGCCTAGCCTTACATAATGATCCAGGGAAAAGGAATTAAAACTCACAGACCCTCTCTGAAGTATAATCTGAATTAACTGAAAAGCTGCTACCTCCTTACCTTCAAGGATATTCAAGATCCTGGTGATAAGCAAAAGGATATTCATTCTCACTCTCCTTTGTACTTTCTCTATAGGATTATTTACACCTCGACAAAATCCTCCACCATTAGTTTCAACTAGAAAGCAAAACATTGACTCTCACTTCATTCACAGTTTGTTTCATTACCCCCAGGAAAGCAGTTTCCTACACATTAGCTTCTCAGCTAAGTTCAGCTTTGCATCTGAGACTCTGCCCTACGTGTTGCAGAATGATTGTTACAGCAGAAGACAGCTTAAGGTTCAGACATTTCAAAGTTTGGGCTCCTTAAAACGTTGTGATCCCTATGATCCACGCCACCAGAAAGCTAACAGCATTTTCAAGTTCCAGACTGCCATCAGTGGGACTGAATTCTCCTCCTGTTGTCACAGCAGCGTGGAATATACAGCTGCTGGATGAGGCATCTCTGACAGACTGGTGACAGGAGAGACCAATTCCATTCTGCAGACCCATTGCTATGCCAACAGCTCCAGATTTATGTTTTAGTCATATGAATTTAAGTGCACGTGCATTTCAACTCTGTCCTGTGCACGACTTACAAAACCACCTCTCTCTACATCTCTGGGTTTTAGCATCACAGCTTCTTGTTTATTTATTTGTTTTTCTATTCAGGACACACAGTATGAAGATCTTTTCACCACTGATTTGTAGTGAAACAAGCATAACTTAAGAACTATTTTTCTTAAAAATGTAACTAAAAATGCATTAGGGCAGTTATGTGAATATATCATATTTCCAACAGTGTAGGGAGGTATTGAATGTCGTAAGGGAAAAATCAGGGAGGCCCCTGCAACAGATGCAGCAAAAGGCTTCTTTATCACGTACTTAAGAACACTGCAAGATGAGGAGCACGGCTGCAAATCAGCTGTAGCTTTAAGAGAACCATGGGAGCTCAGCAGAATGCAAAAAACTGGCAGGAGATCTGCCCAGCAAACAACTGCTCTGAGCAGGACAAGCATTGGGGAATCAAGGATCATGAGTCCTGAGGAAGTTTTGCAGGCTGTACGAATTACATTGAATCAGAATGCAACTAGAAGTTCTGATGGCTCCAAGACAGAACTCTGAGTATTCACAACTGTCATATATTTTATGTTGTTTACCCAGCACAGACCGGTTTCAGCTCAGTCAAAAACGCCACTACTTCTCAACTGCAAGATCCAGTAAAATTTACCAGCTCTGCAGTAAAATCCTCCAACCCTGCCTTACTCCTCCTCTCTTCAGTTTCTCCAAAACACCTCTCATCTTGAATCAGTGCCCAACGCTTTATGAAGGCATCCATGAATTTTAGCCTCTCTCCCTTTCCTATGTCCAAGCTGCAGTGGTTAACACCAGCTTCCTTGACAGTCTGCTTTCTGAAGGTACCATTGCCACGAAGCATGGCAAGAAATTCCAAGACAGTGCTTATTGTTCTATTTCTCTGCAATCACCTTGTTCTTCTGTGTCTGAAGTTGTGAGATTCTGTTTTCAGATCTCAAGACAGCTTAGAGGCAAGTCCTTCTCTATTCTTCCTCCCTCAAGCTTATGATGTTCTATCCACTTGTAAGGGTAGATCTATCAAACACCAAGCAAACCAGTTATCCAAGCTGCTCTTGTGTTGAATTTTACTTACTGTCAGTCAGAATGCACTAGGACAAAGAACACAATAATGAGTAGAGATAAAGGGAGAAGAAAACAAGAACTATGTCATGAAGAGATTGAGATTTCTGTATTTCTAACACTGAACAATATCTTCAGTCAATACAGCAAAAAATATGACATCTCTTGCCATCTTTAAAGGCAT